AGTGGGATGTAAAGACTTTGGGTGCGATGTCAGTGTTATGGTTAGTGTTATTTGTTGAAATCATGAACTGTACTGTGGTACAAAGTGCAGTCCTCTTTGAGAGAGTGCAAAATGCTAACACTGTTATTGGTACATGTACAAGATGTGTGGAAAGGAATCAATATATTGGCCATTGCTTGTATAGAGATGAGCCACACTTTCATTGTATGACTTTGTACTCACTCCTTCACTCCTCTCATCCTACACAAAAGAACAAAAGTTAAAAGTGAAAATCTTGTTGCATTGTAGAAATTTTCTGGTGTCCTACATGATAGTACTGGGTGGAACTCGCTCTAATTTTTTTTTGCAGGGGGAAGAAGGATGATTATGAGTTAATGTGATGTTGGTTAATGAATCCTGCCACTTCATCTGTTGTAGAGTGTTCTATCCTTCCTTTCTTTAATAAGATTGGGTGGGGGTTTGTTACTGCAATTGCCATCATTCTGAGTTATGATGTGAGTAAAACATTTGTGCTCTTTGCAATCATTTTGTTGTTCTTTGTTTTGATGTTTTGAACCACTTTCCCTTCACTTTGGATTTCATTCCCTTCTGGGCCAACTTTTTGGAGTAAAGTAAAATAAAGAGTATTTCCACCTCATGTTTGTTCCCAGAAACATTACATGTACGTCTTTGTTGAGCTGTCATTCTTCATTCAGTCATTGCTGCAGGAACATAATTATTCCTTTCATGACTTTTTGCCGAAATTGGGCAATGATGTTTGAGTGTTTGCTTTAACATATCATCAAGGTGTGTGGGGGTTTTTTTTCTTGTTTGATAATTGTCTTCTTGTATATATTAATAAGGCGATGTGGTATTTTCTTAATATTAGCTTTGACTTTATGAACTGCATTTTCCTCACCTTTACAAATTGAGCTTCCATTTTACCTCACAGTAATGGGATCAGTCATTGAAGGGCTTGTCGTACGGGCATGAAGCCACATGGGGTGGTATGTGAGGCCGATGTATTAAGTCTGTCAGGCTGTGTATCTCCTGGTATCAGAAAGGTTAGACCATAATGTATGTGTATGGGTTTCCAGCTTGACTGGGTTGATACACCTATTATTGTAGGTATACTAGTATAATGCTAGTCAATTAGTTGTGGGATTTTGGAACGTGTAATCTGTGAGGCTAAGAAACTAAACTTTAACTTAAAAGGTGTTTTATGGTTTTCTCATTGAAAGGTAAGTGGTGATGGCAGGAATTCTCTAGTGGTGTTACTTTTTCTTCTTTTTATTATAATTATTACTATTATTCTAATCTGTTTGTACCAGCGTCTTTGGTGTAATGGTTCGGCACTCTTTGCCATTTTCTCACAGAGGATGTGAGTTCAGTTCCTGCTTACGTATATATTTTATGAAACATCTCTGTCTTTCTGCTGCTGCCCAGGCTGGCCCTGACTGGCAGGATCGAAACAGCCCACCTCCTAAATGATATAACTTGTGCTGATGGGGAAGTCAACATTGACAATTGTTATTTGTTCATGATGATATGATAAGGAGATTTTGTGCGCTGTCTTTCAGGATACCACAATTCACCTCCTTCCTGAAAAGTGGGGGTGGCGGGAGAGAGTAGAGAAGAAATTTTTCCCGGTAGAAGGAAGAGCTACAGTTTATTATCTTTCTGGATGAGACGCGTTTTAAGACCGTTGTGTACGTCATGAAGTCTTAGAAGTGTCTTACAATAACAAGGACAAATTTTAATGAATATGAAATCAAGTAAAAATAAATCTAAATTATTTTGATGGAGGGGGGGGGGGGGGGGGGGCTTAAAACATTTACCGTCAGTGAGTCATATGTTCAAGTAGGCCTACAGTAGAGACCGTCTCCGACGGCCATCCATTGTCGAGGAGAAAAGAGGATGTCTTAGTGTCAAAATGTTTTTAAAAAATACACAAGGGAGGAAATGGACAGTGGCAATTTGTACAGGTAATTGTTTTATTCAGGTGGCCTTTGGAGCAGGTTCAATTGTACTTGTGTAAAAGAATATTTTTTATCCCCTCTTCAGAACCAATTTTAAAGAGGAGTAGGAGGCAATGAACAGTAGGAAGGTTGAAGGATGTCATCTTTTTGCTAAATATGGAAAGAAATATGCCTGCAAGTCCCGTTGACTTTCGTGCATGATATACATCTTTTGTTCTGATTACTTTCTTTGCAATTGAAGTGACTCTGCTTCTGCCAATAAATGTTCAGTTTCTATAGTAAATTGCATAAATGTATGACAATTTTATTCATCTTTCTTTATGTATTTCTTTTCGTTTTGGAATCGTAATTGATGGTCGTGGTTGAACTCGTCTTGTACATGCTGCTTGCTATGCTTGTACTGATTCATTACAATCGTTTGTATAAATATATTCTATTGTTCCATTTTATGCAAATGTCCAAATCTTTCGTCACATTGACTGATTAAACAGCTTGAACTTAAGCATATGAAACAAATTTGTCTCGTTTCACGTGTTTTACCACTTTGTTTTACACTACAAGTACAAGCTTGTGGGTGTGTGTCTATTTTATATTTCAATTCGAAACCTTTTATAATATTTTCTTCCTATTTCTATGTCATCCCTCAACATTTTCATGCAATTTCTTCTCCCTCATGATGATGTTTAAATGTATAGTCACAGATACTATTTGTGACCTGCTGGGTCATTATGTCAGATGTGCATCGATATTTCAAAGTAGAGTTTGTTTTCTCTAATTCTACATATTCCATCAAACATATAATAAAAATCTAATGCAGAACGTGTGTGCGAAAGGAAATAACATATTTCTTTCTTTTTTTCTTTTCAATTGAAAAAAAGCTCCATTATCAAAATAGGACCTGTAAGTTTGGACATTTCAGGTCAATCCCACTGGTCCCAACAGCCGTCTATTTTTGGACTCCAAGACAGTAGCTTATGACCTGTGACATATCAGACAAAAAATGTGTGACCTTATTTGAGCTCTATGATGTAGCTTATTCAGGCTACCCCAACCCACATAACCAACCAATTATTCCTTCCCTCTAAACCCCGTAGGCTTACTTACAACTCTATGTCTGTAATCTAGATCTAGTTTGCTGTGTCTTAGCCTCTTAGAGTCCCTGTTGCTCAGCAGAATCTAGCTTCTAGACCTATTGAATATAATGGAATGCAGCAAAGTGAGTCAAATGAAATCTCCTTAGATCACATAGACTTGAGATCCAACAAATCACACACAGTCAAACCTCG